GTCAGAATATCCCATTCGAGAATAATGTTACTAAGATCTGACCTCCCAGGAGCTGCATCCCAAAACCCCTGGGAGGCCCCAAAGAGGCCCCCAAGAGGCTTCCAAGAGGCCCCACAGAGCGCCCGAGGGCCGGCGGAACCAGCGACGCGATGAAATGATGTTACGAAGATCTGTCTTCCCCGGAGCTGCACCCCAAAATACGGGGCGATCCATACAATCCTTTCCCTCTGCCACGAAAATTTCATAATATCCCATTCGAACATAATTTTACGAAGATCTGACCTCCCAGGAGCTGCATCCCAAGATGCGGGCCTGGCCGCCGGCCCCCGCGCGACACGCGTGCCCCCGCCGCGGCCCGTGCGGCCAGGAAGGGGGCACGGGCCTCTCTCGGGGGCGTCGGCACGGCGGCCGCTCGGCTCCCGGGGAGGCGCTCGGAGGCGGCGCGGGGGCTCCGCAGTGAGGGCCCTCGGCGGGCGGATCGGCGTCAGAGAAAGGGAAACCTTACAGGGCAGTTGCAGATGATAAGAATGGTTACCACTCGGACAAAGCATCAAGTAGGTCACTCCTTCTTCTGTCTTCACTCTTGCCTGCAACCTTAGTCCAGTCCACGATTTACACTACCATCGGACTGACCCGACCAGCAGCGAGATCACCCCACATTGCTACAGGGCAATGTCTAACACATTGCATGTTTAAAGATATTGGGTTTAAATACATGACTAAATTATGAAAAAATGTGTGCATGAACACATCGATGATTTTAATACAAAAATCCCTGCATTTGTTATGCATGATCCGCACGCGGAGCATGTATTAGAACCGGCGCTGTACAGTCGGGGCGTTGGCCTAAGGAACCCAAAAATAAGGAACGAGGCCCCTGTTTCCCATCAGTGAAACTTCGCTTTCCCATGGGAACCTGAGGAAGACGCAGGGCAAACTGTAAAGCAATCGAGGAACACCGAGCCCCTCCCCAACGACAAGGGTTCCTTCTTCAGCGCCCCGACTGTAAGCGGGAGGACGGTCATATAGGCAGCTGCATGAACGGCGTAGCAGAGCTGATCGATCCGGTCGGCCTCAAGGGCATCAGACCCCCGTCTGGTGCTGCAGCCTGCCAGCAGCAATAGAAGCACAAGAGGGCGCTGCGAGGAGCCCGTCGTTGTGGAAGGTTTGTTTCTGACGTTTCGCACGCCCTGCGTGTATTGCGTCATCTTCACCGTCTACAAGTTCGGGATGCTGCTGCATAAGTTCAGAGGGTGGCAATTCCGCGTACTGTTGAATACATCAGGCGCTTCGGTTTGCGTGAAGATGAGAGCGGATGAGGAGGAGAAGAGGAGGAGGAGGAGGAAGCAGGAATGAGGGAGGAGGGAGGGAGGGCAAGGGGAAGGGGGAGGGGGGGAAGAGGCGGGAAGGACAAGCTAGGTACGCTCGCGTCAGATCTGAAACCATACACACACATCTCTTCCCATAACGGTGACTTGTCTCTAGCATCCAACTGGTGTCACAGCGGCCATGGAACCCCCCAACTGACCCCATCGTGTTGTACACAGTCAGATGGCAGCTGTGCACTTCGGAAGAAGAGGAAGAAGAGGAGGAAGAAGAGGTGATGGATAAGCAAAAGGATAGGCGGAAGGAAGTGGAGAAGGAGGAGGAGGAGGAGGGAGACGGAGGAGGAGAAGGAGGAAAATCAGCAACAAAAACAAGGGTAGGAGGAGCGCGAGGAGCTGAAAGACCAGGGAAGGCAAAGGAGGGAAAAGCAAGGGGTTCGTCGTATTCAAGATCATTGTCATCGTCAGCGGCATCGTCGTCGTCACAGTCATCGTCATTGACATCCTCAGCAGCATCATGATCATCCTCATCATGATCCTCATCGTCATAATCATCATCATCGTACATCATCATCATCGTCATCATCGTCATCCCCCTCTTCATGATCCTCATCATCATCACCATCGTCATCATCATCACCACCATCATCATCATCATCAGCATCATCATCGGCGTCGTCATCATCCTCCTCACCCGCATCCTCCGCAGCATCATCAGAATCCTCCTCCTCTTCCTCCTCATCTTCGTCGTCCTCGTGTTCTCTCCCCCTGCACTGCAGTCTGGCCTACGCCCGAAAAGCTCACGCCTTGCCTTGCGTCGACTTCGCGGGACCTGCTCGGCTGGACGGGGAGCGCAATGGCCCTACCCATCGGGGAACCGCGCCTGGATTGACTGCCGCATTCAGATGTCCACCGCTTCTGGAGAAGAAGTCTTTGCTACTCCAGATTTCGTAATAAAGGGAGGGGGGTCTCATTTCGGGGGGGGTCTCTTCCAGGCTATCTTGGAGGGCCTGGGGGGGTCTGGGGACGATGTTTTGGAGGGTTATCCCACGGGGGGGTCTAAAACTTCTCGTCTGGGAGGGTTGAGACCCCCTCCCTTTTATTACGAAATCTGGAGTACCCGGCCACGGGATTGAGGATCGCAGCACAGGTTGACTCTTCTCCTAGACTGGGAGCACAGCAGGCGTTTGAGAAGCACCCCGTCCGAAGACCCAAATGGAGGAGCCTGTGTAAACACAGGCCTGTCCGTTAAATGATCGCGCTCGAGTGCAACGTGCCTGAAGGAACCCGACCCTGCTACAGGGCCACACGCAACTCCAACACATGCACACGACTCCAAGCATGCCGTGCACGCGACCGTCCTCCAGCAGGTTGGAGACATTCGCCGGATTCATCGCCATCCAAGCAACCTGAACTGAAAAAGCAGATGGAGAAAGCACGCATAACCACGGCAGGGCGAGCCCATAACACTTGCGCTCAAGAGCACCGACCATGCTACACGTAGGGGCCCCATCGTTGAGCAGTCGGCACCGTGTGTGTGTGACTTGCAGAGACGCGCACCCCACGGAGGGGAGCACCGCTTCCCCTGCCCCTGACAAAGACGCCCCGAAGAGCCCCTGCTCCGACCACGGCCGCCGCGCCCGAACACCCTCGAGGCCCCCGCTGAGAGAGCGCGAAAGCAAAGAGCACCGCAGGGCCACAGAGAGCGGACAGGGAGCAACATCTCACGCATCAGCCAGCAGTGAGAGACGAGTCGCACTGCCACTAAAAACGGAACGAGATCCGAAAAGAGAAACAGGGAAGGGACGAGGAGGAGGAGGAGGAGGAGGACCAGAGGGAGCGGACTGGTGTGGGCGACAACGGGGCACAGAGACCACCAGCTAACACGGCCGAAGACGACAGGCATCAGCAGAAGCAGCAGCAGCAGCAAGTTCAGGAGCTGCCAGTAGAAGCACCAGAAGCATCAATAAAGTGAATGTCGAAGTATTGACCGTAGCTGCAGCAAAACCCAGTCAGAAAATGTAACATCTCTAGGAGACACGAGACATGTAGGAACTCGCTACAGGTGATGAGGAGACTGCGGGGGAAATGGGTGCAGCTTTCTGTGCGATCGGCGTCCGAAATCTATCGATCTTCATTGGCGCCCTCCAGAGCTCTACACTAGGGGAACAGAAAGTGGCATAAAAATAAAAACTCGGAGGTCCGCGCGGATTTCTCGGATCGGCGCTGGACCCCCCTCCCTGGCGCGCGGAGCGCGCCAGGGGCGGCGCCGCGAAGCGCCGCCGGGGGGGCCCCAGCGCCGATCCGAGAAATCCGCGCGGACCTCCGCGTCTTCATGCTCATGCCACTTCCTGTCCCCCGAGACGCGTCTCGGTCCAACCCGAGACCCTCTCTGTGCACCACCGACGACCCCCCGAGGGTCTTACAGGGAGCCCGTTCCAGCCGTGGGGAGCGGACGCGGCCGCGCTCCCGCGCGGCCCTCCGAGGAAAGCCGGCCGCGGGCAGAGCAGGGGGGCCACCTGCCAGGGCGCGCCGCACGGCGCGCAGCCCTGCCGGCTGTAGGTCGCTCGGTGCCCCACCCCTCGCTGCTGCCGCGGGCACGAGCCGAAATGCGTCGCACGCCTCGCGCCGGCACGCGCGCGGTCGTGGCAGATGCTATGCAGCCAAGCAGATCCAGCAAGAGCAATGCTTGATTCGCGGGTCCAGAGCGCACCTCTTCCGGTCGAGGCTAGAATCAACCAAGAACAAGCCGTGGTGCTGATGTGCAGTTGCTGCGAGGGGCGGATCGTCGCAAGCGCCACGGCTCAAGTTACACCTACATGTCCCAAGGCATTTTGTGCAGGCGGGCGTGGTTGGGACCACCCATCCCCAACAGTGGCCTTTGCAGGCCCTCGTGGAATGCATGTGGCGGTCGCCGACAATCGATGGCCGCTCTTGATCAGACCTCTTGCTTCGGAAGACGAACTACTTGCCGACCAAAAACTTGGTTGACGTCTACGGGGCACTTGCCTTGATGAGAGACCGCGAGATGCATCCTAAATCCGATCTGCCACAGAGTGATGTGCGGCTGCTGTCGGGACTCCGTAGTGTTGCTTAGTATGGCTCCGTGCGCAAGAAGAATTGGCCTGGCGAACAACCCAACCATTCGAAGTTGTGGGCACCGTCGTTGTATGCAACGCATTCGGTGGAGCTCCCTATGGGGCTACCAATAGTGTGAAGGGGTCTGCCAAAATCGGTGCGGTGGGTGCATGCGAACGCTGGTATTTGGGCCTTCGGTGGGGCTCCCAATGGGGCCCCGAAACGTGTGAGGGGCGTGCCACAATGGGTGCGGTGGGCGCGTGCGAACGATGGCATTTGGGCTTTCGGTGGGGCGCTCTGTGGGGCCACGAAGCGTGTGAGGGGCGTGCCAAAATGGGTGCGGTGAGCGCATGCGAATGCTGGCATTTGGGCCTTCGGTGGAGCTCCCTATGGGGCCACGAAACGTGTGAAGGGCGTGCCAAAATGGGTGTAGTAGGCGCGTGCGAACGCTGGCATTTGGGTCTTCGGTAGGGTGCCCTGTGGGGTCATGAAGCGTGTGAGGTGCGTGCCAAAATGGGTGGGGTAGGCGCGTGCGAACGCTGGCATGTGGGCCTTCGGTGGGGCTCCCTGTAGGGCCACGAAGCGTGTGAAGGGTGTGCCAAAATGGGTGCGGTGGGCGCACGCGAACGCTGGCATTTGGGCCTTCGGTAGGGCGCCCTGTGGGGTCATGAAGCGTGTGAGGGGCGTCCCAAAATGGGTGGGGTAGGCGCGCGCGAACGCTGGCATTTGGGCCTTCGGTGGGGCTCCCTATGGGGCCACGAAGACTGTGAAGGGTGTGCCAAAATGGGTGCGGTGGGCGCATGCGAACGCTGGTATTTGGGCCTTCGGTGGGGCTCCCAATGGGGCCCCGGAGCGTATGAAGAGCGTGCCAAAACGGGTGCGGTGGGCGCGTGCGAACGCTGGCATTTAGGTCTTCGGTAGGGCGCCCTGTGGGGTCACGAAGCGTGTGAGGGGAGTGCCAAAATGGGTGCGGTGGGCGCGTCGAACACTGGCATGTGGGCCCTCGGTGGGGCTCCCTATGGGACCACGAAACGTGCGAGGGGCGTGCCAGAATGGGTGCGGTGGGCGCATCCGAACGCTGGCATTTGGGCCTTCGGTGGGGGTCCCTATAGGGCCACGAAACGTGTGAAGGGTTTACCAAAATGAGTGCGATGGGCGCATGCGAACGCTGGCATTTGGGTCTTCGGTAGGGCACCCTGTGGGGTGGGGCCACGTAACGTGTGAGGTCTGTGCCAACATGGGCGAGGTGGGCGCATGCGAACGCTGGCATTGGGGCCTTCGGTGGGGTTTCGTACTGGGGCCACGAAACGTATGAGGGGTGTGCCAAAATGATGCGGTGGGCGCATGCGAATGCTGGCATTTGGGCCTTCGGAGGAGCTCGCTATGGGGCCACGAAACGTGCGAGGGGTGTACCAAAATGGGCGCGGCGAGCGCATGCGAACGCTGACACTTGGTGGGGCTCCCTATGGGGCCACGAAATGCGTGAGAGCTGTGCCAAAATGAGTGCGGCGGGCGCATGCGAACGCTGACACTTGGGCCGTCGGTGGAGCCCCCATGGGACCACAAAACATGTGATGGGTGTGCTAAAACGAGTGCTGGCGATGATGGTGATGAAGATGAAGATGAAGATGAAGATGAAGATGAAGATGAAGATGAAGATGAAGATGAAGATGAAGATGAAGATGAAGATGAAGATGAAGATGAAAATGAAAATGAAGATGAAGATGAAGATGAAGATGAAGATGAAGATGAAGATGAAGATGAAGATGAAGATGAAGATGAAGATGAAGATGAAGATGAAGATGAAGATGAAGATGAAGATGAAGATGAAGATGAAGATGAAGATGAAGATGAAGATGAAGATGAAGATGAAGATGAAGATGAAGATGAAGATGAAGATGAAGATGAAGATGAAGATGAAGATGAAGATGAAGATGAAGATGATGATGATGATAATGAGGAGGAGGAGGATGATAAAGATGATGATGATGATGATGAAAATGATGATAATGAAGGTGGTGATGATGGTGATGATGAAGATGATGATGATGATGATGATGATGGGATGACATGGGATGAGATGAGATGAAATGAAATGAGATGAGATGAGATGAGATGAGATGAAATGAGGACGGAGGGGGCAGCGGGAGGAGGAACGGGGGCGGTGAGTCTTCAAAACGAGGGCCCAACACCACAGGATGGTTGGGAAAAGGCCAAACGACGCATCGAGCCAAGCATGCGTCGATGATTCGTTCCGAATACATTTCAATGGCGCGCAACACTTGTATGTATGATAACTCGGCCTGTCACCCCACAAAACTCAAGCCCCACACCACCACCCATCGCGGAGCCAAATGTGCAGCAGCGCTAATCCCGTGCATGTGAACGCATTTCCTGTCAAGTTGCACGCGCCTGTCAACGGGACACTCGGATATCAATGTGACTAAATATGCACCACGACCCCAATTTTTGTTGCAAGCGCGCACATTGGCACAGTGGTTCATTTTGACATGTATCGCATCGGGGGCACAACACAAAATACTAAATCACAAACCCATGTTAGCCAGCGTGGCCTCCAAACACTGCGTTTCTATTAGCAGCTGCTGTGCAATATAAATGGGGCAATATATGTGGTGCAGTTGATGTATACCCATGACTTGACACATCCCATGCGCTGGCAAGCATCCCACCAACCCACCCGCAATTCGGTTTGTAAAATCCATGCGGTGGCGATTGCGATGCATGTTTGGCGTTGGCTGCTGCATCTCTGCGGCCGCGCCAACCCTGAGCACGCGCGCGCAGCGGCCAGCTAGTTCGGCGCCACCGACGCGGCGGCGGAGGCGCTGACCGCTGGGCGCACCCCAGCAGGCACTTCACTGCGGGTCGGCGACTTGGGCGGGCACGGTATCATGGCAACGCCGACGACGGTAGACGCGATGATGATAGTGTCGATGCCGGCGGCGATGTCCGCACCGACGAAAACGCGCCCAATGCGGGCGCCAATGCTGATCACGACGGCGCGTCCTCGCGTCGGTGATGAAGGCTTCGGACAGAGTTCGACATGCGCGCGCGGCCGACGCGCGAGAGTGGCCGGCATGGCTTAATTTGACACGCATCGCGCCCTCCCAGCACGCGCGCAACGGCGCGCGAATGATGTTGGCATGTGGGGCCAGGGGCCCGTTCGGCGGAATTCCATGAAGATGCTGAAACGCCGATGGTTTTCTCAAGAATTCGCAAGAGCGCGCACGCAAGCTTTTTTTTTAACAGATGTTGCGAGACTTTGTGTTGTTAAGATTTGTTTTGACATTGTGTCTTGAAATCGCTACGAAAGCGAGGGTTGTTTTTTAGGATTTCGGCATGCGCGCGCGACGACGCGCGCGCGAGTGCACTCCGTCAAATTTGTTGCAAAGGATTCTCGCGACGGCACGCGCGGAAAGGCGGTCGAACGATTTAGACATGCGCGCGCGAAGCCCGTTCGGTCGCATTTTCCGCAAATGTTGAAACACCGATGGCTTTCTCAAGAATTCACAAGGGCGCGCGCGCACATTCTTTTTTGAAAATCTGGGTTGCGAAACCATGTGCCTATGTGTTTTGGATACTCGATTTTGAAATCCTTCCGAAACCGCAGGTTGTTGAAGGATTTCGGCATGCGCGCGCGACGACGCGCGCGCGTGCCCTTCGTCTCACTGATGTGTAAAGGATGATTGAGGGTGAGTTGTGATAAACGAGTGCGCTCGCAAAGTACGTTTTGCAAAGGATGGCGGGGGGGTCGATACCAGCTCGGCTGGGATGGTACGAACTCATACTCAGGACGGACAATGGGGCACAATCACACGTAACTTGCAACACGACAAGGTGGATTGATAACGCTGGGGGGAATCCTAATTCGTCCTTTAAACCAAGGAGAATCGACGTGGTGCAAACTATGTTATGTTATATACGTTGTGCAATCTACGTGGTGCAATATATGTGGAAATATACATGGTACAAGCTACGTTGTGCAATCCATGTTGTGCAATCGGCGTGGTGCTAACTACGCGATGAAATCTACGAAGTGCAGGCTATGCGGCGCCATCGACATGGCACAAGCAACGCGGTGCAATAAATGTTGTGCAATCCACGTGGTGCAATTGATGTATACCCATGACTTGACACATCCCATGCGCTGGCAAGCATCCCACCAACCCACCCGCAATTCGGTCTGTAAAATCCATGCGGTGGCGATTGCGATGCATGTTTGGCGTTGGTTGCTGCATCTCTGCGGCCGCGCCAACCCCAGCACGCGCGCGTAGCGGCCATCTAGTTCGGCGCCACCGACGCGGCCGCGGCGGCGCTGACCGCTGGGCGCACCCTGCGGGCACTCCACTGCGAGTAGACAACTTGGGCGGCCGCGGTATCATGGCAACGTCGACCACGGTAGTCGCGACGATGATAGCGGCGATGCCGGCGACGATGTTCGCGCCGACGAAGGCGCGGCCAGTGCGGGCGCCAATGCGGATCACGCAGGCGACGATGACGGCGCCCTCGCGTCGGTGATGAAGGTTTTGGACAGAGTTCGACATGCGCGCGCGGCCGACGCGCGAGAGTGGCCGGCATGGCTTAATTTGACACGCATCGCGCCCCCCCAGCACGCGCGCAAGAGCGCGCGAATGATGTCGGCACGCGGCGCCAGAGGCCCGTTTGGCAGAATTCCATGAAGTTGTTGAAAAGCCGACGGCTTTCTCAAGAATTCGCAAGAGCGCGCGCGCAAGCTTCTTTAAAAGAACTGATGTTGAGAAACCACGCGTGTCTGTTTGAAAATGTTTTGGACATTCAGTTTTGGAATCGTCGCGAAACCAAAGGTTGTCCTTGAGGCTTTCGGACGCGCGCGCGACGACGCGCGCGCGTGCACTTCGCCCCATTAGTTGCAAAGGTTCCTCGCGACGGCACGCGCGCAAAGGCGTTCGAACGATTTCGACACGCGCGCGCGTGAAGCCCGCTTGGTAATATGTTCTGCAAATGTTGTGACACCCATGGTTTTCTAAGAATGGGCAAAAGCGCGCGCATGCTTTCGGGGAACATATGGGTTGCAAATACATTTGTTATATGTGTGTCTGGGACACTCGATTTTAACATTTTGACGGATTTCGGCACGCGCGCGACGACGACGCAAGCGTGTACACTTCGTCCCATTTGTTGCAAGGGATTCTTGGAAACTGATGATTTGTGATAGACGAGTGCGTGCGCATAGATGTTTTGCACAGGATGGCGGGGGGGGTCGATACCGGCCCGGCTGAGATGGCACGAGCTCATATTTACGAGGGGCGATGAGGCAGAATCATATGTAAACTGCAATACGAAAAGGTGGATCCATAAAGCTGGGGGGGATCCTAATTCTTTCTGAAGAAAAGAGAATTCACCCAACCGAACTTGAACGCCCCAACTCGCCCGACCTGCGCGGCGGATTGCGTTGGCGTTGGCTGGCGCATCGCTGCGGCCGCGATAGCTCGCGCAAGCTTGCGCGCAAAGCCTCCAGCTAGTCTGGCACGACCGACGCGGCCGCGGTGGCGCTGACCACTGGGGACTTCCAAGCGCGGCTCGCAGGCCGCGCTGACGCGCGGGCACTTCAGAAGGCGGACGCGGTGGCATGGCGACGTCGGCATCGGCGGGCACGATGATGATAGCAGTGATGCTAGTGACGACGAGGACGATGACCACGGCAAGGCCAATGACGGCGCGATGTTGATCACGCCGATGACGATGATGGCGTCCACGTGTCGGACACGACGGTTTGGGACGGACTTCGACATGCGCGCGCGGCCGACGGGCGCGGGTGGCCCGCATGATATTTTGTGACAGGGATCGTGCCCACCCAACAAGCGCGCAAACGGGGTTCTAACAAATTCGGGAAGCGCGCGCGAGGCACGCTTGGCCGCATTTGATGAAAAGTTGAAGAACCGATGGTTGCAACAAGAATTTGCAACAGCGCGCACATGCACGTTTTAACTGATCATGCTGCAGAACCAATGCTGGGAATATGTGTTCAGGAAATTCAACCTGGAAGCCTTACGAACCCTAGTGATTTTGAAGAGTCGGCATGCGCGCGCGACGACGCGCGTGTGTCGACATCGTCCCATGCTTTGCAAAGGATTATTGGAAGCTTGTGATTGGTAACAGACGAGTGTGCGCCCATAGTACTACTCGACAGGGATGAGGTGAACCCCCCCTGACATGGCACGAACTCACACTTAAGTGAGCGATGGGATAGAATCATATGATCGTACTACCCCAGGGGGGATTAACGCGGGCTGTGAATCCTAAAATCTATGAGGTGCAATCTATGCTATGCAATATAGGCGGCGCCGGCGATCACGGAGCCGCCAGACCGCCAGCCAGGCCCAGACGACGGGCGGCGACGAGGCGGCGACGGGGCGGCGACGGCGACAGCATAGCCGCTGGACCGACGCACGGCCCCAGTTCCTCAGGAAAGAAATAAGAACCCGTACCCATCGGTAAGTAGGTAGAAACATAAAGTAGGAAGGCGTTGGAAATAGATTGGGTTTCCGCCCGCCTCCTGAAGAGGAAGGAAGAGGGAAAACCACTCGACTCTTGAAGTAGGAAGGCGCTGAAAGTAGATTGGAATCTGGGAATCCAAAAATACCCATTTTCAACGACCGGTGGGTAAGTACAAGCACTGTTGTTGGGGGAGGCAGAGGGAGCGGCGTGGAGCTGGTGAAGAGAGACTGCCTCCAGAGAATCTCCAAGGCACACACCGACAGAGATCACAATAGTCGCCATTCCGGGGAGGCGGTGAAAACTACATGAGTAGAAATAAAAAACAAACAGAAAGAGAAAGAGAAATAGAGAGAGAGAGCGCGAAGTCAGACATGCAGAAGCTGCGAGCCCGCGGGGCTGGCGCGATTGAGCAAAATATTGAGCCTGAGAGTTCTGTCATTGGGCCCCGCGAGTGTGCTCTGGGTGAGCAAAACTTAATTTAAAAAATCGAATTTCGATGTCAAGGGACTCACAATCCAGAGAGTCGCAATGCCAACGAGGGGCTCCCTCTTCCCTCACCCTCCTACTCCTCAGTCCTCGTCATTATCCTCCTCCCTCCTCCCTTGCCCCTCCCTTCCGCCGCATTACTCCCAAACACCCCCCTCTTCCCTCCTCCTTTCTCCACCCCCACACATCCCTACTCCATCCTCGTCGCTTCACCATTCCCCTCCTCCTCCTCCTCCTCCTCCTCCTCCTCCTCCTCCTCCTCCTCCTCCTCCTTTTGCTCCGCCTCCATCGCTCTGTCCTCCAAGAGCCTTCAAAGATACACGGTGGCTTGCGGAGGCGATTCTCGGCGTTTCTCGGCTCTTTACAGGGGCATTCGGTGTGTCTGTGTTGGCTGGTGACAGGGCGACGACCAGGGAAATAAATCGCCCCTCCTGAGGTCTTCTCAGTTGTTCAGCGACGACGACGACCGCGACCACAACAACGATCGACGACGACCACCACCACTACGACAGTGACCAACAATCAACGCCACCGCCGACGCTGACAATCAACGGGAACGACGATGACGAGGGCAACGCGTACCCAGGTCATCTGACTTCGCGCATAGCTCCCCGCAACGGGCGACACGCGATTGCCTTCGCGCCCTCGCGAAGCCACACTTGAGAAGGGTGATCCTCTGGCCCGGCCCTGGGCCACGACGTGCGAAGGCACGCCATCCTCGCGCCTCCGGGGGCTGCCCTGGCCATGGCGACGACGGCCGCCGAGCTGCAGTCGTCGCCGCCGCCGTTGGCGATGGCTTACCAGCCTGGAACATATCCCTATCCCTATGCACCTCCTCATCACGATGCCAATCTTAGGGATTCCCTTGTTTTTTTTTTGAGGGCGAATCCCTAAGATTGTCATCGCCTTTTGGCGTGTCAATCTTAGGGATAGGGATACGTTCGAGGCTGGTAAATGGCGACGGGCAACCTGGCGATGGCGAAAGCGACGGCGTGATGACAGCGGCGACGGCGGCCGCCGAGCTTTTGCCCGCCCGCGCCGCGGCGGCCGCGCCCTCAGAGGGCGGACCGCGGCGTCCGGCCGGCCCAGGGCGGCAGACGCAGCAGCGCCCCGAGGGCGGACCGCTCCGGGGGCGCCGCCGCGGCGGCGGCGCTGTCGGGGAAGTCCGCCAGCAGGCGCAGCACCTGGATTACGACGGCGACGACGACGAGCGCGACGACGACGACGACGACGACGACGAGCGCGGAGGCGGTGGCGGCCGCGGCGGCGGCGGCGCCGCCGACGGCGATGGCGACGGCAGCAACGACGACGACGACGACGACGACGACGACGACGACGACGACGATGACGGCGGCGGCGGCGGCTGCGGTTGCGGCGACGACCACGGCGACGGCGACGGCAGCGGTGGTGACGAAGACAACGACAGCGACGACGGCGGCGGCGACGACAGCAACGACGACGACGACGACGACGACGACGACGACGACGACGATGACGACGACGACGACGACGACGACGACGAAGGCGGCGAAGGCGGCGAAGGCGGCGACGGCCACGACGAAGACGACGAGGGCGACGACGACGGCGACGATGGAGGCGGCAGCGCGGCGGCGGCGACGGCGACGGCGGCGGCGACGACGGAGACGGCGACGGCGGCGGCGACGGCGACGACGGTGACGACGACGGCGGCGACAAAGGCGGCGTTGGCGGCGGCGGCGGCAGTGGCGGCGGCGGCGGCGGCGGCGGCGACGACGACGACGACGACGACGACGAAGACGACGACGACGACGACCTCGACGACGATGACGGCAGCGGTGGCGGCGGCGGCGGCGGCGGCGGCGGCGGCGGCGACGGCGACGGCGACGGTGACGAGAAGGTTGCCAGAAGTAATCCTGGTTCAAGATGTTCCCAGCGCTCCGCGCCAGTGTGGAGTCCCTGGGGCCAGCTGGGACCCCCTAAGCCTCGTGAGGGATGCTCTGGAGGCCATCTGAGCTTCCCTGGCAGACTTGGATTCACCTTGGGTCAGGGGCCACCTCTTGCAAAACTCGAGTGGTGGGCTTCAGCTCGACGCTGCCCTCTGGCCCCTGCGGCACCAGCGTCTCGCGCGCCCCCTCCGAGAACCGGGACACCAGCCAGTCCACCCACACGGCCCGCAGCGGCGGCCGAGCGGAGAGCAGCTCCTGCAGGTGGCAGTCCTCGGCACACGAGGCAAGGCATCTTGAATAATCGGGGGGGGGGAGGGGGGGGGGGGCGGCGTGCACCAGCGGGGCGGACACAGCGAGGCCCCTGGAGCACACCCCAGTGGGGCAGGGGGAAATCGCTCCAGACGGCCGCAGGCAAAGAAAGTGTGAGCGTCCAGTTGATTTAGTGGTTTGTTTTTGCCCGTGCTGATCGGGCATAAGTTGTAGAGCGCCTGATCTCTTCTCAGCAGAAAAACCTCAGAGAAGCCGCGATAAAATACGATAATCAATGTCACCTTGGCAGACTAAGCGGAAAAAGGCGGTGTGCTGGACTGGTTCCCCTGAACTCCCCCCTTGGGATAACCCCCCTCTACGTACCCCCGACCTCTCGAAGCCTCCCCGATGGGGTCGAGTAGATGGGGTCGGAGGATCGCGCCGCATCGCCGATGCATCGTCGATGCATCGACGATGCATAGACGATGCATCGGAGACGTCGGCGGTGCATCGACGACGCCGGCGTGGAGAAAATCGGGCTCCACATCGAGCCGCGTCGCAGATACATCGGCGATGCGGCGCGATCCTCCGAACGCCTTTACTCGGACACCATCCGGGGCAACCGAGAGGTACCAATAACGCTACTATCCGGGCCTCTCCTGGGGTGCAAACTCACCAGGATTTCGAAACGAATCCAGCGGTGGCGGCGAGGGCCTCCCAGGAGCCCCAAAAAGGCGGCGCAAAAGAGGCGAGGGCAGTTTATGGGTACATGTTCCTCCTCTGAACATCTTGAACCGCAGTGGCTGCGACCCGATCTACTCCGACCCCATCTACGAAACCTAGAGCTTTCGGGGTCGGGAGGGGTGTGACATCAAGGGGTGTGGTGCCCATCGTGGAAATGGCGATGTCTTCTACGAAACATTAATATCGCCAGATTCAGTATTGGCAGCGCACCCCTTTACACCACACCCCCTTGCCTACATCCAGAAGATCGGGAGCGGCCAAGAGGGGGGTGTCCAAGAGGGGGAGGGGTGCAGATCATGACCAGCGGCATGCGCGCGGCCCAGCGGGGGGGTCAGGGACGCAGTGAAATAAAACGAGGCGCCATGAAATCTGGGGAAATACTATTATGGCCCCCGCCATGATCTCCAACCCCCCCTCATCATCACCCCCCTCTTTTCATGGGGCCCCAGGACACACAAATAAATACACACAAATAAAAATATTCCCCATATTTTCCCATATTTTCTGGGTTTTTGTCTGCCCCCCCACTTCCCATATTTTCCCATATTTTCCTGGGACTCGAGGATTAATTGTGTCTGTGTTTTTGTTCCCCTCCTGATCTTTGCAGAGATCCAGGAGCACCTCAGCGTACCCTCCAGCTGGGCCCGCGCCGGGGAGGCGGCTCGGCGGCGCCCCCTCGGAGGGGGCTCTGGGCCCTCCAGCCTCCCCTCCGCAGCGGGGGGGGGGCGTCCGCGAGGGCGCCGTCCGAGATCGGAGGAGGCCGAGGCCGACGAGCAGGCCCAGACGGAGGCCGAGCAGCCCGTGCGGACTTGCTCCGTATGGAGTTGGCACCTCAGCAGGGGAGGCCAGGTCCAGACGGAGGAAGCCCGGACGGAGGCCGAGCACTCCGCCTCGACTTGCTCCGTATAGATGTGGCCTCTCCTGACAAGAGGGTGGTTCGCAGAGCACGGCCCGGTGCACGTGTGCGGCCCGGGGAGGAAGGGGAAGAGGGGGCCATGAAAGAGGAAGAGGAAGAGGGGGCCATGAAGGAGTCCTGGGAATTCTCATGGCCCTGGACATGATATCCATCCCCCCCCCTCCCTGTCATCACCCCCTTCTTGGCCACCCCCGATGACGGGGGGAACTGGGGCGACGAGGGACGTGGCAGGGCTGCGCAAGAAGCGACAAAGCAGCGAGCAAGGAGACTGGCGGAGAGAGAGGCCGAGCAGGTCCGTGTACAGCAGCGTCGGCAGGGCGGCGTCGTCCACGTGGCAGGCGGCCCCGCAGAGGGCCCGGAACAGGCCCTCCGCGGCCTCGTCTCCGGTGGCCTCTCGGCGCAGCCCCGCGTCTCCGAGTGCCGATCGGGGTCGTGTCTTTCCCCCCTCTGGCCATCGCTCGGACGTCCATTCCCTGTGCTTGTTTCGGTTTCGTGCGTGGTTGTTTTCGCCAAATCATCAAGGATGCTCCTCGATGGTCCTCGCCGAAAGAAAAACGCACACGTCCGAGCGATGCCAAGCCCTCCGGTGGCCTCTCCAGTGGCCTCGTCTCCGAGTGGCGATGGGGGTCGTGTCTTCCCCCGCCTTCCTGGAGTGCGGAGAGGGCGGGCGGCAGCCCAAGGGCGCGCGCGAAAGCGCGCGCGGGGCTGCCTGACAGAGAATCGCGCGGGGAGGGGGGGGGGAGGGCCCCCAAGAAGCCTCCAGGATGCCTCCAAATAGCGCCCCGAGAAGCCCAGGAGCGCCCTCAAAAGGTGTCATACACCAGCTACGTCAACACCCCATGAATTTGGCTGTTCACGCGAGATCGTCACGGTCGAGTATCCGGAGGTTGCCCAAGCGAGTTCAACATCTCTATCTTATGAGGATATCTCCAGCGAGTGCTCTACTTTTCAACATAAAAGGTCATCCGTTGCAAGCAGAATCTGTAGCACCCCGGATCGGCGGCACTGGCAGGAGGCCACTACAATACATTGTGAGGAAGTATCAGGCAGGAGCCGTTGTTGTTGTAAACCGGGGGCCAGGCGCACAGTTTATTCCCCGTGACTTTCCCTAAAAAAAGGGTGCGAGCCCAGGGGGAAGCACTTCCTTGAGCCCCGTGACTTTCCCTGAAAAAAAACAGGGTGCTACCCCAGGGGGAAGCACTTCAATTGAAAAAACAATGCTGGAGGAGGGGGATCAACAATAATTATTCTTCTGTAGTGATAGCTCAACAACATGATCATCGTCATTATCATCGCCACCACCACCACCACCACCACCACCACCACCATCATCATCATCATCATCATCATCATCATCATCATCATCATCATCATCGTCATCGTCATCATCATCATCAGCAGCAGCATCATCATCATCGTCGTCGTCAGAATCATCATCATCATCATCATCATCATCATCATCATCATCATCATCATCATCATCATCATCATCATCATCATAATCATCATCATCATCATCATCATCATCATCATAACCATCATCAACTTAATATATGCAAATCGTCGTCGTCGACATCACCGTCATCAGCATCATCATCAGCATCATCACCATCAGCATCACCACCATCATCATCCTCATCATGATCCTTATCATCATCATCATCATCGTCATCATCATCATCAGCATCATCATCATCATGATCCTCATCATCATCATCATCATCATCATCATCATCGTCATCATCATCATCATCATCATAATGATCAGGATCATGGTCGTCGCCATCGACATCCTCCTCCTCCTCCACTTCCCTCTCCTTCTCCCTGCTCCTGCTCCCTGGTTCCTGATTGCTATATAGTCCTCCTCCTCCTCCTCCTCCTCCTCAGCCTCGTCCTCCTCCTCCTCCTCCTCCTCCTCAGCCTCGTCCTCCTCCTCCTCCTGATTGCTATATGGTTCTCCTCCTCCTCCTCCTCCTCCTCCTCCTCCTCCTCATCCTCCTCCTCCTCCTCCTCCTCCTCCTCAGCCTCGCCGCCGCCGCCGCCCTCCCCGCCGACGCCGCGGGCCCCGCGGGCGCCTGGTGCCGCGCGGCGCGGCCGAGCTCGCTCAGCACCCTGCGGCGCAGCTCCCGGGCCTCCGCGGCCCCCTCGCCGCCTCCGCGGCGCGGCGCGCGCGGGGCGCCCGCCCGCCGCCGCCGCCGCCGTCGCCGCCGCCCTCGTGGCCGTCGCAGGCTGCCGCCGCCGCCGCCGCGGAGGGGGAAGGCACTCAGAGAGGGGGGTCCAGCGGGGCGGGGCGGGGGGCCGACGCTTGCATGCTGCGACGGGCTCGGCGCACGGGCGGAAGGAGGAGGAGAAGGGATCGCGTGCTCCGGGAGCGGCAAAAGGGGGAAGGAGCGGCGCCCGGGCGCCGGGGGCAAGGGGAGAGAGGCAGAGAGAGAGGGGGAGCGAGATTGAGAGAGAGAGAGAGCAAAAGAGAGACGGAGAGGGGAGAGAGAAAGAAATATACAAACAGAGAGAGCAAGATGGGGGGAAAGAGAGAGAGAGAGAGACAGAAAGAGAGAGAGAGAAGATGAAGCGTAGAGAACACGCAGAGACACGACTCAGAGACGGAGACATAAAGAGGGAGAGAGAGAGAGAGGGAAAAAAAAAATGACTGACTGAGACAGACAGACAGACAGACAGACAGACAGACAGGCGGACAGAGAGGCACTCACAGACCGACCGACGGACACGCAGACGGACACACAGACACACAGACAGACAGACAGACAAGAAGACAGACAGACGGACAGACAGACAGACAGACACACTGACACACAGACAGACAGACAGACACACAGACACACAGACACACAGACAGACAGGCAGGCAGGCAGGCAGAGGGGAGGCAGAGGGAGAGAAAACCAGGTGCACACATCAAAATTCACCAACTACGCCTGCCTAAAAGGTGCTTGCGTGGTCTGCACAACGGGTGGGCGCGCGACCTGCGCAGGCCGGCATTCCCTAGGTTCCCGGGGGTTCCCTGGACTCCCTCGGTCTTGCTTTCTTATTGTTCTAAAAAATTGGCCTTCTCTGGGTTCCCTGGGTTCCCTGGACTCCCTCGGTCTTGCTTTCTTATTGTTCTAAAAAATTGGCCTTCTCTGGGTTCCCTGGGTTCCCTGGACTCCTTCGGTCTTACTTCCTTACTGTTCTAAAACATTGGCCCTCTCTGGGTTCCCTGGGTCCCCAAAGTTCCCTGGTCAAGATTCCCGTCTGCGTCTGAGCAGGCGTTCCCCGGTACGCCAACAAGACAGGCCACGCAATGCCGAGCGACGCCAAGCAACGCAAAGAAACGCCAGGAAATGCCAGGCACTGCCAAGTAATGCCAGACAACCCAAAACAATACCAAGCAACGCAAAGCAACGCAAAGCAACGCCAAGCAATGCCCAGCAATGCCCAGCAATGCCAAGCCAAGCAGTGCCAAGCAATACCAGGCAACGCAAGCAATGCCAAGCAACGCCGACCAATGATATCCAACGCCAAGCAATACAAAGCAGTGCAAAGCAATGCCAAGCAACGCAACGCAATACCAAGCAATGCAAAGCAACACTAAGCAACACCAAGCAACGCCGAGCAAAGAAACATAATGCCGAGCAACACCAGGCAATGCAAAGCAACGCAAAACAATGCTACGCCAAGCAAAACAATGCTACGGCAAGCAATACCAAACAATACCAAATAATGCCAAGCATTGCCAAGCAATGCCACGCGACGCAAAACAGTTCAGAGCAGTGCACAGCAATGCCAGGCAATGCCAGGTAATGCAATGCAGTGCCGAACAATGCAGCACAAATCTCAGGAATGCCAGGCAATGCCACGCGAAGTAATGCCAAGCAAGGCCAAGCAATGCAAAGCAACTCCAGGCAATGCAAAACCATGCAAAGCAACTCAAGGCCAAGCAACACAACGCAACGCCAAACAATACCAAGCAATGCCAAGTAATGTCAAGCATTTCCAAGCGATGCCCAGCAACGCCAAGCACTGCCACGCAATGCCAGGAAATGCCAGTCAACGCAAAGCATTGCCAAGCAATGCAACACAAATCAAAGCAAAGCAAGGTAATGCAAAGAAGCGAAAAGAAATGCGAACTAATGCCAAGCAATGCTAAAAAATGCCCAGCAACACCAAGATGGGCCAAGCAAAGCCAAGCAACGCCAAGCAATGCCAAGCACCGCCAAGAAGTGCCAAGCAATGCCAAGCAATGCTAGGCAGTGCAAAGCAACGCAGTGCCAAGCGAGGCAACGCAAAGCGACGCCATGCCAAGCAAGGCCAAGCAATGCCCAGCAATGCCGTTAGGAAGCGTTCCGATATTCGAGGTCGCTCCTGTTTCTCATACGTAGCACCCCGCAGTTGCGGATAAGAGTGAGGGGGCGGGCGCAGGATGGGTCACGGGTGGGTCGCGGGTGGATCGCGGGCGGGTCGCGGGGTGGGTCGCGGATGCTTCGCGGGCGGGTCGCGGGGTGGTTCGCGCAGTGGGTCGCGGGTGGGTCGCGGGTGGGTCGCGGGTGGGTCGCGAGTGGGTCGCGAGTGGGTCGCGGGTGGGTCGCGGGCCGGGTCGCGAATGGGACGACGATAACAGCAACAACAACAACAACAACAACAACGACAACAATAACAACAACCATACAAAAAACAACAACGACAACCAACAAACAAAAAATACACAACAAACAACAAACAACAAACAACAAACCACAAACAACGAACAACGAACAACAAGCATCAAACAACAAACAACAAACAACAAACAACAAACAACAAACCACAAACAACAAACAATAACCACCACAACAACAATGACAACAACAATAACAACAACAATAACAACAGCAACCGCAACAACAGCAACAACAGTAACAATTGCAACAACGACAACTAACAACTACTACTATGACTACTACTACTACTACTACTACTACTACTACTACTACAATTACACCTACAACTACATCTACAACAACAGGAACAACAAGCGGCTTAAGAATGTTTGGTCTCGCTTGCCAGCGTGACTTTGATCTTGTATACCCCAACCCTCGGTACCCGCCCACTTCGCCTTTGATCGCACCCCCTTCTGGGGGTAACATCTTCCTTGTCGGCCACTGCCAGACGTGCGAGGAACTCTCGAGCGAGAGGCCGCCCCTGAGTTCAGGGGCATCTCTGCCGAAGGCCAGAGGTCGGGCCTTTGTAAACGCGACTGGGGCCTCAAGTGGGCAGCGCGCTGGGGCCTCCGTGGGCGCGTTTGGGGCCTTTGTGGGCTCGAGCCTCTGTGGGCGCGCTTGGGGCCCCTGTGGGCTGTGTGCGAGGGCCTCAGTGGGCAGCACGCTGGGGCCTCCGTGAGCGCGCTCGGGGCCTCTGTGGGCTGGGCACTCTGTGGGCTGTGTCGGGAGCTCAGTGGGCAGCGCGCTGGGGCCTCTGGGGGCGCGTTTGGGGCCTCCGTGGGCTTCGTCGGGGGCCTCCGTGGGCAGCGTGCTGGGCCCTCTGTGGGCGCGCTTGGAGCCTCTTGTGGGCTGTGCCAGAAGACCTGCGGGCACCATGCTCGTGGGCACGCTCGGGCCTTCTGTGGGCTGTGTTGGGGGCCTCAAGTGGGCAGCGCGCTGGGGCCTCTGTGGGCGCGTTTGGGGCCTTTGTGGGCTCGGGCCTCTGTTCGGGGGGACGTAAGACCCGGGTACGGAGGACCCGGGTACGACGGAAGAGGTCCGTCAAACATTTTGGGGCGCTCCGATGCAAGTGTGCCGCGTCCAATCGAATGCCCTGGCCCCTTGCTGCAACGACTCGCACCACTCTCAACGATGCAATCAAGAAAACATTGAATGGCATGCCGCTTCGCTCGCGAAGCGTGCTACACGTGCGCCCGCGCGCGTATGTCCCTATCAAGTGCGAAAGGTTTCCTTTCTAGTTTCAGATTCGTTCGCGCCGCATTTTACGACTACCACTGCGAATCCAGAGCACACAAAAAACGTTCCAAAACATCAGATGGGACAGGCCTGCCATGAGCATCTGGACCCCCCAACCGATTTTGACGAGGACGTCAAAATTTGACGCGCCCAACATCAAATTTGACGAGGCCATCATAAATTTGACGAGGCCCAACCAAAATTTGACGACGACGATTGCTCGAGACATTCTCAAAGAATTCTGGCGCGTAAAATTTGACGAACACCATTTTTTTTTTGACGAGCGGACGGTGGCCCACGTCGGCGGCATGACCGGCCCGATTCCCCGCGTCAGAATTCTTTGACGGACCCTCCCCTGATTATTCATTGCCCCGCGATGGTCCCCTCCACTTGTTGTCCCACCTCCCCTCATCTCTTTCTCCTCCCGTTGCCTCCTGCTTCGTCCATCTCTTCCTGTGTACCCCCCACGCCAGCCCCATAGATGGCCTCGAGAGGCCCTCAACAGCCCCTGAACCCTGTCCCAGGCATCACTCGGTTCACTAGAGCTTCTAGCGATCCTGCCGAAAAAACGCCCTCCAGCAGCGCCGCGTCGCGGAATGTAACCGACGCGCGTTCGCAACTAAGTTTTTGAATTTCCGCGCGAAACTCGCGTCCCGGCTTACCCGGGTCTTGCGCCCCCCCGATCTGTGGGCGCGCTTGGGGCCCCTGTGGGCTGTGTGCGAGGGCCTCAGTGGGCAGCGTGCTGGGGCCTCTTTGGGCGCGCTTAGAGCCTTTGTGGGCTGACCCCGAGAGCCCAGGCAGCTTGCTGGGGCCCTCTGTGGGCGCGCGTAGTGCCTCTGTGGGCTGCGCCCGGAAGCCTCAGTGAGCAGCGTGCTGGGGCCTCTGTGGTTCGGGAGCCTCTCTGGCCAGGGCGTCTGATAGTAAATAGCGAGGGCGTATCGGGCGGACGACCCTGTCGTCGAAGATGGGCCTCCGCCGCCGCTACTGAATTGCAGGGAAGCCTCGACTGAGAGCGCCGTTCCTGAGTTCGAAGGCCACTCTGGCCAGGGGGGCTCGAAGTACAGCTTGAGAAAGTATCGAACGGGAGACCTTGTCGTCGTGGCTGGGCCTCCACCAACTTGACTGAATTACGAAAAAGTCTCGAGCGAGAGCGCCGGTCCTGAGTTCGAGGGCCTCTCGGAATACAGATTGAGAAGTACCGAACAGAACCCTTGTCGCCGTG